GCTGCTGCTGCTCTTTCGAGGGTCTGCAGGGCCCGAACCATGAAATGATAGATTGATTTGGTAACACGCCTTTTTTTCCTGTGGTTTTTTTTTTTTCCATCGTTGATTTTTTTCTTCTTTTTGGAAGCTGCAGCATTTCACCAGGACTTGAAAAAGCTCTTGTTTTGAAACCCAAGATTTGCTTTTTCTTCCTATGTAGGAATCCATAGATAGATGAGGGGACACTAAATAGAGCATTTCTTCTCAAATTGCCTTCAATTTTTTAAATGATGTGCCTAGGTAGTGTTAGCTGGATTTAAAGCAAGCGCATAAAGGACTGGCTTTTGCTATTGAACCTGTGCAGCTGGCATTGCTTCTCTTAAGTAAGGAAACTGAACTGAAACGTTGCTTTTCTTCTTGGTGCTTTGATATTTGTTTGAACGCTGAGGAATGTATTGTGCTGCAGAAATGTAATACACCTTTAAAGCAAAGGCGGGCAGTGACTGGTTGGGGGAAAAGCTTGGGGAAATAATTATGAGCATGTGTCTCCTGGTCATGGCCCAGCTGGTTATCTCTTCTTGCTTTTTGGCTTTATTCACAATGACTCATCTGCAGACAAAAGAATAAGCGCTGCAAAAAGGCATCAGCTGTGCTGAAAACCTGTCACTGCCCTTAGGAATTCAGTAAAATTGTCGCTTTTCTGCAAAGACATTGACAGCTTAAATTGCATTTAGACTTAAACCTCAATGTCTCCTAAAGGCTAATATTCAAGCAATAGATGGAAAATCACTTAAGCAAGCCTTTTTCTTTCTCCTCACATATAAGTATGTATCAATGACTCCTTTGTTTGGACTTTTGCAGAATACAGCAGGTGTTACTCCTCTGGAAACTTCCACAGACCATTCTTCCTAGTAAGTTTTCCAATTGCTTTTTGATGTCTCTTTTACAATCTGAGGGCATTGGATGGATTGGCTTTAGTTTTTGGTGATGGATATAGACAAATGCATGTGCCATGAGAATTATACACATGCCTTAGATTAGTCCAGGTACGATATCTGCTCTTTGATCTTGAATTAATTGTGATGTGATTATATGAGTGATTGTATTGACTAGATAAGAATTGCTGATTGTGCTAGGCATTGACTTTAAACAAAAAAAGCAGACCTTTAACTCCATCTTGATGAAGTTTGCAAATTGTCTGTAAATTCACGCAAGTAACTATTACATGGGATAAACACACGTTTCTGTTAGGCATGTATGATAGATTGGCTCCTGTTAGATATTCCCAGTTATGCACACCAGATCAAAAGGATGCTGTTGCTGGAAGGCAATAATTTTCCAGCTTCCAGGAAGGGAACCAGTGGTAGCAGTAATGATATTTCTCAAAGATCTAATGTATACTGCATTTCCAGGATAATAATAATCAGCAGTATACATTGTCTAAATGAATTGTACATGGAGCTGGTTTGTTTTAAAAGATGAACACAAAAAAAAGGAGCCAGCTCCTACTGTAAACCTGCAACTCCTTGTAATTGGCCTGAGTGCTTAAATGTTGTCCGTAAGCACTGTGATTCCCCCCTACATGGATAGTTTGTTAGGAAAGGTGTGTTCTTCTCTGGACACCCATTAATATCACGTGTGTTCACCACCCTTCTGGGGCTGCCTTAGAGGTCTGCTGTACTTCTTTTAGCTCAGTTCCCTTCTGTCTGTGTTTGTTCTGCTGGGAAATTTGCACACTGCTGCATTTTGTTGGTTGCTTCTATGACTGTTTTGTTTTGTTTTGGTAGAGAGTACAATAAAATTAATGGAAATCTCAGAGATGAGCATAAAAGAATGGTTTATATTTGCCAAAGGCTGGTAAGGTTTCCACCCATTGCAGGACTGTCTGTGTCCTTTCTGACACCACTCAAAGCATGCAGGAGTGCCAGGGTCTGAGCCAGTGGAAGGGAAGCAACCTGGGTGGGCTGGGAATGGAACACAACAGGGAGGCCCAGTGGAATCACACGTTATTCCCTGCCCTGCCCTTAGAGAGCAGGGAGACAATACTTACCTGGAGTTTATTGCCTTTTTTGCAGTGTTGCTCTTCTGTCATCCAACTGATTCTGATCTTGCGGACTGCCTTGGCCCCCGCAGTACTGCTTGCTGGCCCTAATGAGGGAGCAACCAGTAAAGGAACTCTGCCAATGCCTCCTCTCTGTCCCCAGGGTGTATTCCCAAAGGAGGATCATTTTAACCCTTTGGTTTTTAACAGCTAGACTAAAATGCTTTTACCTCCTGGGTGAGGAACCTCAGGGCAGTCATTATTCCCTGCAGCAACTGGCAGGGCTTCCTCAGGAACCTGACAAAGAGGGTCACTGATATAAACCCCGTAAGACTCAACAGCTCTGTAGCTATGGGTCTGTTTGAGCATTTTCTAGGTTGAAAAAGTGACAGTATTCCCTTTCTCTCTTGTGGTGCTTTTCACAAGCTGTTACTCCAGAAAGTAATTTATGGGACAGCATATGACCTGGTCTTCCTTGTCCGGAAATGAAAATCTTCTTTGTGGTCCAGACATCGTGTAATTCCATCTCCATAGCCAGTTCTCTGATGTGTTTGAAAGCTTTATCTTTACCCGATAAGTACAGTGTCTATCCAAAATAAACAGACTCATGACCAAATTTATCCACAACAAGCAGGCGTAACCACAAACATTTCCACACTCACATATATTTGAATCACTCTTGGACATCAGGTTGTAAACCAACTTTCAAAACGTTGCCATGAATTGGCAAATGGCCTGGATTTTTAAATTTTTTTTCAAACTTTCCTGCAGTCATGTTTTGGCCTCAGAATAGCTTTGTGTGAGACTGCATCTTATTGTGAAGAGACTGATTGAGCACAAGAACTGGTATCAGATGAACTTAGCTCTGAGGGAAACACTGCCTGATAGCTCAGCAAGTCTTTTGTACCTGGAAAGGCCATTTATACCCTGGCATTGTCAGTTACTTTTTTTAGAGAGAAAACTGAAATCTAGAAATCCAAAGCGGGCCCATACTGGTGCTTAGATTCATGACTGAGGAAAGGGATTTGTAGTAAGTGTCCAGTCTTTAAAAGCCTAAGAAATTGAAATGGTACTCATTTTAACAGCATTTTATATCTGCATGGTAGACCTGGAGTCCAGGATTTGTCATTCCCTGTAGTGGAAGCTTGAGGCAAAGCTGAGCAGAATTGCATATCTGGGGATTTCTTTGGCATTTAAAACAGTAGTCTTTGTAGCCCTATACTGTTGTTTCTCTGCGTGGTCCCTCACTAGTGGTCTTGAGAAATTTCTCTGGGAGTCTTGAACTACAGTGTTAACTGGGAGGCTGAACTGGCTGAGATAAACTCATGAGCAGCTGTGCTTTGTAAGCAGGGGACAGGCATGGCTAGTGTTTAAGGAGAGAGGACTGGGAGCTGAAAGATACTTGTGCTACTTCCAGCCAGCCACTGAATTCCTTTGTGTCTGCAAGGAAATCGTGCATCTGCTCTGTGACTTATCTCATCTGCTAATCAAAGGAGGCGTGCGTTCCTGCCCCTGTTTTCAGGGGATTCGAGCTGGGAGAGTTTCCTCAGGTGGAGAATGCTATGGTAGTGCCAAACCTAGAACATTATTGCAATATATGTCTAACCTCTTCGTTCAGCACCAGTTCTCCGTACACAGTCTATTCTGGATTTACAAGTGTGATTTTCTCTTATTTTTGCATGAAGCTCTCAGCAAACAGAAGTGACCCACTGGTGTCCTTACTCCTTTCTTTGTGTTTTCCAGCTCCACATATTCACCCAACTACCATGCAGTGAAGAGGGAGTCAGAACCAGCACTGGGGGACCCTGCTGGCTTGGAGAATGAAAGGCAGATTTACAAGAGTGTGCTGGAAGGTGGAGATATCCCGTTCCAGGGTCTGAGTGGTCTCAAGCGACCTTCTAGCTCTGCTTCCACAAAAGGTAGGTGATCAGGGCACTAACTCTCCATTCTGCACAGATTGTCAAAAGCCAGATGATATGGGGAAAACTGCTGCAGGGTTTAGAGGCCTAGTCAAGCCAGTTGTGAGGTTTCCTCTGTCCTTCCTCTTTGCCATCCCCAGTTCTCCCTCCTTTCTTCTCTCAGCCCACACTGGCCGATATTTTTTAGGACCCTTGTATCTGATCCAGCTTCCTCTTCCCAACAGACACCAGCTCCCTTCATCTAGCACCTCAGCCACACCCCCACACCCTCATATTCCTCCTTGAGGCTGCTCAGGCTGGCCTTGCTATCCATCTGCTCCCACTGCCTTGCCATGCCAGAGCCCTCTTTTTCTGCTCTTCCTGCTGCAGTATCTCAGCAGGCCACGCCACGTCTGCTGGCCTGCCTACCCTGGTGTAGCTGGGACTGTGTGCTCCACAGCCTCCTGCCTGGGAGGGGTGTGCAGAGAATGCAGGGGACACTGAACCAGCAATGCCCTGCAGGCAGTGAGACAGCAGGGCAGCAGAGGCACTGCACCTCCTCCCCTTTCCTCCCTCCATGCAGAACATTAGGACAAGGAAAAGCGTGACTCCCATCATGGAGTTGTACTGGGGAATGTATCTCTGAACCAACATCAACCTAAAAATGGCTTGAGACGGGGAGAGGACTGGGGAAGGAATGCATTTAGTTTCTGAACTGCTCTCACTAAAAATAGTGCATCACACCAAAAAGGTCTCTGTCTCCATTTTCTAGCTATTTTTCAACATCCTGTCAGGGCTGCAGGGCAGAGAGTCAAGCTGGATCTGAACAAAATATCTGTTCTAACAGTAATTGTTCCCCAAACTGCAATTGAACCTGAATCGTTATTTTGACATTTGAGTTTGAACTCGAATCGGAAACAGAGCTAAAACCTGCAATCTAAGCTGAACCCAGACTGGATCTGACTTAAAAAAAATTAAAATAATAATGTCCTGATCTGACTCCTTGATTTTTAAAGAAAACATGGCCAACACATTGTCTGAAGGACACTCAGCTTATTCCTAGTATGGTGAATCTCTAAGCAGGCAGCTTTTGGGCAAGGCCAGCTGATGTGGCCTGCCTGTGCTAGCACAGTCAGCTGCCAATTGTCTTCTCCCTCCTGGGAATAAACTGTTTGGCAAGCACTGTGGTGAGACCATAGTAGGTGTGATTACAGGCTTGGTGTTAAGCCATTTTTTGCGATGTTAGTGCCTCTGCATTCTTACTGACAGCCTGATCCTGCCCAGAGTTCAGCAGCCCTTTTTCATGACGCCGCAGCTTCCCTGGAAGCTGATGATGCTTAGCACTTTTTAGGAGTGTACCTTTAAAGTGCTTCAGATCTGCTTCTGGCCAAGCCTCTCATTTTAGAGATGTTGGCAGCACTTCACCTACTCCTGTAAGCGTGGCTTGCTGTGCAGTTTCTTCCTGCTTTTCTTTATGTTTTGGAACTTTGCTTCTTTAAAGTGCATTTTATGAAATCCAAGCATGTTTTTTCTCCTTTCTTAATAGCTTTCTAGCACTTAAGCTAACAGGTTGTATTTATTTTATTCTGCATGCTTACCAGTGGATCGTAAAGGTGGGAATGCTCATATGACTGCACCCTCTTCAGTTAATAGCCGAACCTTTAACGCTAGTCATACTGGTATGTTAGGTCACGCATGTAAACATAAGAAGCCCTTATCAGCTGCAAAAGCCTGCATTACTGAAATCCTCCCTTCTAAATTCAAACCCAGACTTGCAGCTCCAGCTGCTCTCGTGCAGGACAAGAAGGGTATCTTGCTGTCTCATGAGAAAGCTCAAAGCTGCGAAAACCTTCGTAGCTCCATTGCCTTGTTCGATAATAAAAAAGCTTTCATGGTAGACATAGGGGAAAGCATAGAAAACATGTTGATGAAGTCGAAGCAGGAGTATGCCATCAAATCGGGCAGTACCATGAGCCTGCAGGAGTATGGCACCAACTCTAGGAAAGGCTACCTGTTCCCTGCCTCCAGGAAGAGTGGGATGGAGTTTACAGTGCTGTATAAAGACATGCACCAGATCAACCGGTCCAGGATCCATTTGGGCACAGTCTCCTCCTGCAGCGTGAGGGATATTGCATCTCAGTTTGAGAGTGAAGCAAAGGACAGGATGGAGCACAGCCTTAGCCGAGAGGATTCAGAGCAGATTCCCAAACACACTGTTTCGTCCCGTATCAGTGCCTTTGAGCAGCTGATCCAGAGATCCCGATCAATGCCCTCGCTTGACTTTTCCACTGGACAAAACAAATTCACCCCTTCTCTCCAGTCTAAAACTTGTCTGAGTTCTGCCTACTCTGCAGAGTTTCTTCTGGATTTGCCAAAAGCACACCAGGAAGAGAAGGATGCTGCCAGCTTGGGAGATAAATCCTCCCACTCCTGCAGCAACGTGGAGGACACAGCTTCAGATGTCAGTGATGCCATCCCTATGGACACACTTTCAGCTTGCACAGATGAGATAGATCTCCTCTCAAATGCTTCCAATGACAGCGTCAGCAGCAACCTCAATGGGCCTCAGAAGCACAAAATCAGCAGATGCAAAGGCGCATGCCCAGCTTCCTACACCAGGTTCACTACCATCCGAAGGCATGAGCAGCAGCAGGCCTCCAGGAACACTGATTCCAAAGGGGATATCTGTGGAGACAGACATGTGCTCCCCAGAAATGTCTACCTAATGAGCCCGCTCCCCTTCCGGTTGAAAAAGCCCTTCCAACACAAATCCTGCAGGACTCCACCCCCAGACTGCCCGGGAAGCCCGGCAGTGCCCAGCCCTGAGAACCCAGATGACCCCATTCAGCTGCAGGGGAGCGTAGGAGACAAGATTCACCACTCCCAGCACCAGCCGTGCTCCAGAAGCAGGCCTCTAGCCCCCAGGCGCCTGTCTTCCTTTGACATTGTGGAAAGGCTTAGCTACTTGCCCACCATGGGATCTAGCCGAGATAGCTTCATGGGCCGGGCTGACACTCCTGACTCCTTAAACAATGGGAACCCTATTTCATATGCCCTCTGTCACAGCCTGGACACAAACAACAACCCACAAAGTGAACTTGGGACATACCTAGGAGGTGGCTTTTTGTGTTCTTTACCAGTGTCCATCTGTCTTCTTGCTTTCCTTTCTTCTCCTCTTTCCTTCCACAACCCTGCATTTCTACTCCCGACCTTTACATCCCCTGACTCTCTCTGTTTCTTCCCTTAGTGTGTCCAATGTCCTTTGCGTGTCTTGCTGAGCATTTTTGTTCAGGACTTGTTAACAGCTGCACTTCTGAGAAACAATTTTTGCTGCCTTTCTAATCACACCGGGTTCAGTTTGTCTCTCAAGCAACTCCGGGGATGGAAGAATCTCAGTATGAGATATTTCTAGTCCTATATCATTTGCATACATGGGAATATCAAAGAAACCCAGATGATTTGCTTTAAGGAGCAGTTTCTCAAGGTCTAGTTGTGTGTGTGTATTAAACTTTTCTCAACAGTAAAATGCCAAATCATACTTTGATGGCAGCGAGTATCTTCTTCACAAAGTCCTTCTATGTCTTTACTCTTTCTCTACTGTTATTTTCTCCCTGTTTTTGGATCTTTGTTCACAAGTACAGCCCAAAAGGGAAAAAAATGAAAATGGAGAAATTCTCAACATCCGATTGGCAATTTGGTCAATGGCAATTGAGAATCCTTACTGTCAGAATGGAAACAAATTGTTTAAAAATATCTATTTTTTTCCTTTCTGGTTATGCTAGATAAATCCATCTGTATTTTAACTTCCTTATGTTGTTTCGAAGTAGATTCAGAATCACCAAGGCATTTTGCACCAGTTGATTACATGGAAACTCCAGAAGAAATTATCCGCAGACGGCATGATGATAAAGAGGTAATGCACTCCTTTATGGCCTAATAACAGTTGTAGCAGCTCCACAAACTGTATACAAGAAATATAGCATTCTGCCTTATATAAGGAAATTTTGTTTGTCCATGGCTGTGTATATTGGAAGTTACAGCAACAAGCTGGAACTAATATGTTTTAATACTACCTCTGCTGCTGATTGAATGTATAATGTGTAGTCCAGTATAGCTCTTGTTTAAAATAAACCTGATAGTCTTATCAATTGCACAAAATGATGTATGGGAGCTTTAAAGAATGTAAAAAAGTTGGAGATGTGTGTGACACGTGGTAGAACACGCCAGTTGTACCACCACCAACACTCACAGATAAAGATTGAAATGGTTATTTGAGTTAATGAGTTAATGTTTTGTTGTCCTTCAAGCACACCCCTTGAGTTGGTATTAATCAAACTGATGAGAACAGTATTTTTCTTGTGGGGGTCCTCTGGTTTTGAACAACAAATGTAACGTATTTTAAACTGTCAGAAATTGTAAAGTTTCTCCCCATTTCAACCTCGAATTCTTTGTGGTGTCTCAAGTTGTTGACAACAGAATGTAGCAGTCCTTTTTGAAACAGCTGGGCAACACTGAGACAAACTGAAATAATAAGAAAGCCACATAGACTTTTCATCACTGACTGTATTTAAGCTGAGTTAAAGAAGTTATGAAGTGATTGCTTCCCAGAAAGCTGTTAATTTTCACTGCTCGGGGGGAAAAAAATTATATTTTTAGTGTTAACTTTCTGAGTGCAAATAATGTTTGTATACTTTGAAATACAGTAAAACCTGCTCTTAATTATTATGTGAAAAAAAGTATTTTTGCTGTTTTCTCCTGTGAAACAATTAATAATCCCTTACTTCCAAAATCCAGCGTGAAAACGCGTGCAAGAGCAAAACTCTGAATTCCCTAAGACCTGCTGGCTTCAAATGAGTTTGCACAGAGCTGAACTCTTCAGCCTACAGCCAGCCCCAAAAGGTGGAAGAATCCTTCTGCCCAAGCACTCAAGAACGCACGCTTCCATTAGTGTGCCAAGTCCAAGTAATTCTTTGGCGTTCATTTACTTTATTTTACAAAGTGTATTACATGAGCCCAAAGGAAGTATGGGAGAATCTGGTTCCTGAAGGTGGTTAGGCACTCTGCCAAGCTCATTGCAAAGTTCGGGAGTTTGGTGTCTGGGAACTTACCTGTGGGGCTGATTCGGGTCTCTTGGAAGTCAAAGAGAGAAACTCCTTGTTGGTTGAAGGGGGTTTGGATCGGCCCTCTGTGTTACCAGCGATCTTCTTAGAAGCTCCCACGGCCTGGCCAAAACTTAGAGAAACTCCTCATTGACTTCCATCAGCCTTGGATCAGATCCTCTGTATGAGTTGGATTTCAGTTATGCCATGATGGTGATGTACTTTCTGTGCTTGTAAAACTAAAAGGTATTATGTAGAACCAGTGTTTTATGTTGAACTGTAAAATCCCAGCTATTTGCTGGGACCTTGGAAATTTTATTCAAGTCACATTTATGGCAGCTTTTGAATGCCCTTAACTAGATTATTTACTGCCCATTTTATGCAATTTTATGGCAGAAACTTTTAGAGGACCAGAGACGACTTAAACGTGAGCAAGAAGAAGCTGATATTGCAGCTAGAAGGCACACAGGGGTTATTCCAACGCACCATCAGTTTATCACTAATGAACGATTTGGGGACCTCCTAAATGTAGACGATACAGCAAAGAGGAAATCTGGGTCAGAGGTCTGTTTTAGTTACCTCAGTCTGCTGCTTGACCCAAAGCAATATTTGCCTCTCACGATGTTGTGCTTTAGGCCGACATTAGCTCTTCAGAGAATGTTGTTTTGGTTTTTTTTCCACCTTCCCTTTTCCCATTCTGGCTTCATTTAGATCTGCTTTGACTCTTGTGCCTGGTAAATTAATAGATATCTCTACCGAGCTGCATATGTTAAAGCATGCCTGCTGAGAATTGCTGGTGCACACCTGTGATGCATGCCTTTAAATATCAGCTACTTTCAGAGAATCAAAGGCATTCTACATCTTTTGCATCATATTGCTACGTTGTCTTCTTGTCTGTGCCTTACCCTTAGAAACTTTGTGTCTTGTTGATCCTGGCCATGTGACTGTCCCGTCGTTTATTTTAGAAATATTTCTATTTAATTTAGAAAGTATTTCTTCTCCTCTTGCAAGATGCTTATTGTCCTTTAGAAACGACTGGAAAAAGTCTCGGCATGTTTCACTGCGTACGGCCCGGTCAGTCTTTCTGAAAGGGACAAAGGAGGAGGTAGACAGTTTTCCTGTCAGCCCAAGGCACTTTTCCCAAGGGCTGGGTGCTAGTCCAGGTGTCCCGGCCAAATGCCTTTCCTGCCTTAGGGATTGCTGCTGGGGTTCTTGACAGCAGCTCTGTTTCCCCAGGGCTGCCGCACTGTGGCGGAGGCTGAGGTGGTCGCCACCTGGATGGAGGAGTTTGTCTGCCCATCATTTATGTAGGTTCAAATGCTCTGGTGCCACATGGATGCGACGACTTCTTATTTTATGCTCTATTACCAAAATGACTTAAAAATTGTGTAAATATTTCTAATGTGGCCATTAGAAAATCAGCCAAGTAAATCAAGTGTTAAAGCCTAGACCTGCTGTCAATGTCCTTTTTGGCCATGTAGCCACTGAAGACTTTTTTTTTAGACACGTCTTTATTTATTTGTATTTCCTCCTCACCTTTGTCTCTTTTCTACCAATTTATACAGAGTACTTGGGTCACATTGGAGGCTTCAGCAGGGCTAGGTAATACCATTAAGAGCCACATCACTTAAAAATCCTACTGGTTTTTTCCCCAGCTAGTAAATTTTGCTTTTCCATTCACATGTCAAGGGAAATTTGGTCCCAGAGCCCCAGTCACTGTAGTTACTGGAGCAGCTTTCATTCAACAGGACTTGTCACATTTAAAACTGTGCTGCTGTTAAGTCCATTTCCTGTAGAGCTCTTAATTACAGTTGTACCAGAAGATGGCACTTTTTTGCCATGATGGGGACAAACCCATCCAGCATATTTGGACTTGTAGTATCAGTTGCACATAAGCTTGTAATAGAGTACCTGCATTCAATTTCCTCCCCAGACTAATGTTTGCTCTAGAAGAGTTTGGGTGCTTTTTCTCAGAAGAGGATTGAAAACCTAATTATTGTTTTAATGTGTTGATTTTTTTGATCTCTAGATGAGACCTGCTAGAGCCAAGTTTGACTTTAAAGCACAGACACTGAAGTGAGTACAGTTTTGTTACTGCTGCCTTGAGTGTTGTTCCTCTGCCTTTTCCCCTAGGATGCAGCATTTATGAAGTATTGTGCAATTCGATTCATGTTTTGGAGAGTGCCTTTCCAGCATCCTAAAGCAAGGTGTCCATAGTAAGGCAGGGAAAAGTAGTATGAATCTTGCAGGTTGCAACCTATAAAGGACCTTTAGGAAAAGTGCATCTGTATCGCATGTAATTTTTGGGTCAAACTTGCCTTCTTTACAGGAACAAGTAAGTGTTCTGCTCTGAGGATGGGTGAAGCCAAGTGAGAGTGCTCTTGCTGATGTTCCTCCTCGTGCCTTGTAAGCAGGATTGGCTGGGTGAGACCTTTCTGTCACTGCCCTTGCTGGAGACGGAAGGGATTCCCCTGCGTAACATCCCTGGCTGTGCTCTGATGTAGGAGCTGGAAGAACTGTGTTAGTCACTAGCTCACTGTGTAAATCTGCCATACCGATGATCAGAAGAACACAGACATGCAGAACAGCAGCAGGCTTTTCTCTCTGCTAAGTGTAGCCCAAAGTCAGCAAGGGACTTAAACAGATGCCTAGCATTAAGCGTGTAGGTGGGCCCTTGACTCAGGATTTTCCTGATTCAGGACGTGTAAGGGTACAGAGTGGTCACTGCTCCCCTGGTGTCTGTGGATACACCAGCGGGTGTTTCTGGTGGCACTGCTGTACCTCTGAGCTCTATTGTGGTCGCTCAGGTGAGTCACACAGCACTACTCATTCTTTTTGGGCAGCACTGCTGCGAAGAGTAGGCTTGGAAGGTCTTTCCCCTCTGCATGAGCCTGGAGAAGCTCTCATTTTAACATTGCTAGGGAGGGAAGAAAGAAGAAGAGAATTCAGTGAAGGACCTGCTCTTTTTCTACTCAGGTGCTAATGTCCTGGAAACGTTTTGTTGTATGTTCTATAGGTGATGATTTGTAATGATTTATACAGCATCTCCCCAGCACCTGTAATAAAACTGAGGCAGGTGTAAGGTGTAACTGTTGTGTCCCTTGAGCAGAACACAGCTCTGTGCCAGACAAAAGTAAAGGAGAGCTTGTGAAAATTGTGTTAGGAAAGGCTGGGTTGGTTGTTTTCCTGTGGGGACTCAGATAGTAGGTTTATGAGCCAGGTGCAAGCTGCCCACAGTAGGAGTTGCTCAAGCTGCAGACATTCATCATTTTAGCACTGAAGGCTGTAGATTGAAATCCCAGTTGTTAACCCAGGTGTGGTTGCACAACCACACGCTGACCAGAAGTGTAATCATTGCAGGATCAACATTGGCATGTGAGGGGGTAATTAGCAAACTAGCTTGCATGAAAATCATGTGTCTCTTTGAAAGGCACTTGTGACATGACCTGTTTCAAAACAGTAATCGAGCACTGCTCACCATATCCAAGGAAAGCAGCCAGTGGCATCTTTTGCTTGAGCTTGACCCCACTGCTGCTGGAGGGCGTATGATTGGTAGGGCCCTCATGGACCAGCTTATTTGACAGGGTGCCCAAAGAGCAAGAGAGTCCCTGCATGTCACGATATGAACAGGGTAATTTTCAACATGTAGCTTTCACTTGGGGTGGAGCATGATTTGTATCAGCAGGGCTGATGCAGACGGTGGTACCTAGGGATTGCTGGACAGAAAAAGAACAGGTTCTCCAGTGAAGTTCTGATGGAGTGCTTGTGTGTTAACAGGGAACTTCCTCTGCAAAAAGGAGATATTGTTTACATTTACAAACAAATTGACCAGAACTGGTATGAAGGCGAACACCATGGCAGAGTTGGCATCTTCCCACGATCGTACATAGAGGTAGCTGCTTTCCTTGCAGGTGTTCTCTTTGCCCACTCCCTTGCTGCCAGTGACCAGTTTATGGGCATTTTTTATATGACTAATTTGATTCTGTTTGTTTATTCTAGCTCCTCCCACCAGCTGAGAAAGCTCAGCCCAAAAAGCCATCACCATTGCAAGTATTGGAATATGGAGATGCAATTGCTAAGTTCAACTTCAATGGAGATACCCAAGTGGAAATGTCCTTCAGAAAGGTAGGACTTTTGTTGTGCTGATGAATTGGATCCAGACAAATGCTGACTTTTTTAACACTAGTAACTTGCAATTTCCAAATGAAAACTCCAATAAGGTGAACTCTGTATTCAGGAAGGATTCGTCCTCATCATTGCAGTGTGAGTGTTGCCAGGTAGGTTGACTCAAGAAGTGCCAACTGCTTCCTTAGGTCTAGCTGAGAAGATAGTTTGAGTGCTGGAAGCCTGGCTCTGCAAGGCAAATTAGATATTTGGTGGCACATCACCAGTCTGATCCTCTCTAGTGGAGATGCACACAGTCACATGAGAATGGTGATACAGAAAAGAAGGAAGCTGGGCTCACCTTTCTTCATACTACAAGCCAAATCGTTGAGCACAGGCAAGCGAGGTTCTGTGGTATTGAAGTGACTGGCTAGACCTGACTGCAGAGAGATAGGAATGGGTTGTGTAATGTCTGTTCAGAGCAGTGTCAGGCATATTTAGATTAAGTAGCAGCATTTCTCCATCTCAAAACAGCTTTCTATTTTGCTGCTCAGATAAAATCTTGTCTGTCTTCTCATTTAATTATACATGAAGGTGGGGCTTACAGTTTATATAAAGGATCTGAAAGTCACTTCGTGTGTCAGCACAACAGGAGAGAGCATAGAGAGACCTAGTTTAAACTGCAGACATGTGCATGTTCATACCCCTGAGAGTTTTGTGGTCAGCCTGAAACTGCTGGTTTCCATTTTTTTAACTGGCTTTAGCAAGTAGGGTCTTGAAAACGTGAACATAACTGAGTCTGCAGAACAGCCCAAGTCGGCACAACATCTGCATTTCCTCCTTCTCTGAACTGAAAAATATCATTCCCAGAGGTTAGGGTTAGGATCACGTAACTGGGAAACAGGGGAGTCTGAGAGATAGCGATTGTTTTAAGTCAGCTGCAGCAAGATTAAAAACATAATCCGTTTGGAATGATGAAATATGTTAAAAATCAGGCTACATTACTATTCCTTCCCATAGGGTGAAAGGATCACGTTGATTCGACGAGTGGATGAGAACTGGTATGAAGGAAAAATCTCTGGCACAAATCGCCAAGGCATCTTCCCTGTCACTTACGTGGAGGTGCTCAAACGGCCAGTCGTCAAGAATGCCATCGACTATCCTGACCCACCAATGTCCCTCTCCCCTAACCGCAGCATGACAGCTTCACCACAGGTATTTGGACTGGATACAGCCAGTTACAGCACCTTGCAGAACAGAGGGATGTTGCCATTGCTGTGCAAGAAGCTGAGGAAAGCTGTAGCTAAGACTAGTGTTTTGTGCAGTAAAAGCCATGTGCTCCCTGCAGTATGCTGCAAATGCAGGAAAAGGTGATGATTCATTTACCAGAAAGGTTAATGAATGGGTCATTTGGGGATTTGGAGACTCAGCTTTTCATCTCTGATCTGTAGCTTGAATTCAGACCAGGTTGAAAGGGCTACATTTTACAGCCACCTGAATAAATTCCACTGCCAGAGATGCAATGAATTAGCAATCCAGCTCCTCCTGAGTGTGTGTTTACACTTTACAGACCTCCACTGTCATGAGTGAATTTTTATTGTGACTATTAAAAGGGCATCACAGACTGTTGTAGTCTGTAGGACTCATTATGTTGATCCCAGTCAGCTTGAATCAAGCTGTATTCTTACTCCTAGATGTTTCAGCTCACAACCAAGGTTTTGGGAGACAGGGTCAGGAGAGTGGCTTGTGTTATTTTAAATTGGTGGTAAGTGAACTCATGTCTTGAGAGCAGGCCAGCCTGGGATCTTCCTTGTATATTAGATTCGCTATAAACCGTACTGCAGTTCAAACCAGAAATCAAAACGGCAGCAGGTAATTGTATAGGGATGCCAGAATGTTCTCCATAGAAAACATATCAGGGAGGCAGTGAGTCTCTAAATCCCTTTGTTTCACTCTCATCCTGCAAATACTCATGCTTGAAGGTCAGCATACGTGTCTGGGTCACAGCCATGAGGTTCTGGTTCATCCCTCTCTCACCCACGAGACCAAAGCAAGGTCATTCTGAGGTCAAGACTGCAAGGAACAGAAGTGGGGAATTAGGATTGGGAAGAAAAAATATATGGTACAGGATGGATGGGTAAGGACTGCCATGGCTTATGCCTGGTGTCTATCTGGATCTTCCCTAAAAGGAGTGTTTTTATTCTTAGCCACTGTGTATTGAGGGAAGACTTTTTGCTTGTTCAGGGCTCCTTGTCAAAGTGGACCTCGGCTGACCTTTTCCGTTTGAGCTTGGCAGTCTCTCCATAGCTGTGGACTGTCTGCCACCAGCTCCCTACAAGTTTCTCCCATTGATGGAAGGGATTGTATCCACCCTTTTTTGGGTTTCTTTGCTATTCTTTTGATTCCTCCCCTAGTAAATCAATTCTGTCCCTTACTTTTTTGCCAAACATGGCAGAGGACTGAGAAACGCTCTGATCAGAGCTAATGTAGCTGATCTCACTGACGTTGCTGGTGGTAACAGCAGAGGGCAGAAATTGGTTGTGTGTTCTGCCTTTATAAACATAGGACCTACTTTAATCACCTAAAGACCAAGTAGCCACAGCTGGCTTTTTTGATCCCTTTCTCCTCCACAGCTTCAGCAATGCAAGTTTCTTGAGGAGCAGGCACTGCTCATGCTAGAGCAGGATGAAGTCAAAATTCATTGCAGCACTGAATTTTGACTGAGTCCACAGTGTGAGTTGCAGGGGGCCCAGCAATTACCACCAGACCAGTCAAATGCTGCATGCTGCCATCATGGATGGTGGCTTCAGCTGCTCCTTGAGGAGCTTGGGACATATGGTATGAAGTCTAAGGTCTTCCACAAGATGTTTTCTGCCTTGGGTCCCAGCAAAGGCTGGAGGAATGTTATTAGCAGCACAGGTACAGACTGGACTCTGTTGTTGGGGTAGCTGTGGACAACATGTTCTCCGACACGGTGCACCTGTCCGTGGAAAACATACGCACTATGCTTGGTCACACATCTACTCCTCTCCACACTCACTCTCTCCTTTTGCTTTTGCTCAGTCATTTTGTATTTCCCTTTATTATTTTTTTGTTCATTTCTTTCTTTTTCTCTCCTGCTTTTGTCTCCTTCAAGTCTCCCAGCTCTGAGCTGCTCCATACACCAACTCCTCCGCCTTTGCCTTTCGCGCGTCGCGCCTTATCTCCAGAGGTGCAGGCAGTCACGTCTGAGTGGATTGCTCTGACCGTGGGAGTGTCTCCCAGCACCACTCCTGCCATAACTCCTCCATTGCCTCCTCCGCCTGAAGCCTCCCTCTCTCATCCTGACTATCTCTCGCCTTCTGCTGCAGCCAGCCCTTCCCCCTCGGTCAGCCTCCACCATTTTCATCTCTCTGGCTCCTCGACTCCCAGGTCCATTAAATCCCCATTGCCCTCTTACTCATCCAGACCTCAGTCCTCCGCTCGCAGTTTCTATCAGGCCACTCCGCAAAGCGAAGAAAAGTTTGTTGTCTCCCCTTCTCCCAGCATGAGCTACTCTAACTCCCCTCGCTGGGCAGTGGAGAGCCCCGAAAGCGTCCTCGCAGAGCAGCGTGACACCACTGGCAGCCAAGCCTGGCTCCAGAAGACTAGAGAGGGCAGCAGCAACCCCGAGCAGGGTGCTCATGCTGTTCCCAAGATCTCTGTCGAGCGCTGCCTGAAACCATCCCAACTAGACATGCGTGTGAGCCCAGAAAAGAGACCTGTGGGTTCCTCTGAGGACAACCAGTTGTGTAAGGAGCTAATGGCTATTGTGCAGGGAGGTAAAACAGAGAAAAGAGACGTGAGGAAAGGTGATCTGGGGAAGTTTCAAAGCGGGGAAAAGAAGGTACTTCTCCTGCATGTGTGTGTGCTGCTCTGAATCCCTGATTTTAACTGGTGTGTTGAGGTTTGTGCTGCTCTGCAGGCCAGGCAGAGCCAGTGGCTGCCACAGGTCATTTTGATGATAGTAAGACGTTCTTCCAGGGGTCACCAGTGGCATTCACTGGAGAGCAGATCAAAAAGTTTCAGAAGAGGACTCAGGAGCTGTGTAGTGAAAATTACTCTAGTCTTGATAATAACACAGGACTGACTTAATTGGTCACATCTAATATGGTAATTGTCCCAGGTAGTGGCTATTACCAGATGTGTCAGATGAAAGTATCACACAGGCCTCATGCCCATATACCTCACTGCATAGAGTAGAGGCAATTCCTTGCTATTCAGAGATTTTCCAGTGTGCAACGGATCATCTTTGGTGATAGGATTTATTTGTTCCTCCTAAAGCAAAGGACTGAAAAGCCTTCTAAGCATCAGCCTGGCTACTAGAATCACAAAAGCTGTCCCCTGTTCATCCTGGAGCCTGTGATTCAGTGAACCTTAGTCTGGGATGTGCATGACTATGTCAGGGAGGCTTGATTGTTGTCTATGCATTGAATGAATTTATAACCTTCACGTTTCCAAAATGATGTGAAAGGGTCTAGCCACAAATGACAATTAGATGTAGTGATATTTTTTCCCAGGAGTTTTTAGTTATATGTAGCTGTATGTTTACGATGAGAAGGAACATGGTGGAACCCTCTAGTAGCTTCTACAATGTATCTTCTGCCCCAGTTTTGGTACAGGCCTGCCCTACTTGGCAGCTCTCAGTTGATTTGGGGTCCTCTGTGAGCTACAGCCAGCCAAAATACATTACAGCACCCCCATGCTACCTTGTGTAACAGTTCAAGTTTGGAGCTCAGAATTGTAGCCTTATAAACACTGTCTTGGATGCACAGCAATAGTCTCCATGATGTACCCCTTCTAACCAGCATTAAATAATGAAGAGCTAGGGTTTCTAAGATGACACCTTTCACACTGGGAAATCTTACAGTGAATTGCTTGATTTCTGCTTGAATGCTAACCAGAAGTGTATTGGAAGCTGTATAAAGACTGTACCTTTACCATCTGGATATATTTTTAGTAGAATTTTTACAGGGATAACCTGCATGTTTGAAACAGAATGAGGTGGTCAGCTCAGACAAGCCTACTGGAAACTGCACTTGCCCTTGCATGGAGTTCTGTTTGCTGTGTGTGCATCCAATTTACTGGGTAGTAGATGCTCTTATCACTAGTAGTGATTGTGAGAGGAGAGTGTGTGCCAAGCTGACCAACTTTTCTTTTCTTCAAAAGACTGCAGAGTCAAAAGCATTCTCTTCATCTGCTCCTCTCTCTTCCTCTGCCCTCTCTTCCTCTACTGTCACAACACAGCCACCTCCCAGACTTACACGCAGAGTCAATAAGACACAGGTAATCATCTTTGCTGATTACTCTTCCATGACTTAGAGTTGTTGCCATGCCATTGTTTTGTCATATGCTTGTTCAGCCATTCATTGATTGCACAGAGGAGATATTTCTCCTGTCATTTCATTCAGATTTTTATTTTAATAATTTAAAATTATTTCTGGGCTGTGCAGAAGGTCAGGTATGGGCAAAATCTTCAGCTGGTGATGAAATCCACATGGTGGATTTGCAGTCTGGGTTTCTGCCAGTTTGTACCAGCTGAGGATCTGATTTTCTGTTCCTCCAAAAGATTAACCCAGGGCTTATTTAGTTCTGACCTCGAGTTCCTACAGCTCTGTTGCATTATAAGGCAGTATCGGTGGCCTTGTTAGCGGGAATGATGTAGTATGAGCTACGTTGGTTCAGATTTTAACCACCTGAGGTCAGGATTCAGGATTGGAGTGTCTCAGAGCTGAGTAAGGCATACACTTCCTGGTATCCACAATGGCAGGGACCTGTTCCAGCCTTCTCAGGCAGGATTCAGACGTTCTCAGCTCTGTTGCTGAAGTCTGTGCAGCATAACCAGCTCAGCCTCAGCACCGTGTGGCTGGGATGTCCAGGGTCCGGGAATGAGCAGTGCTCGCAGCTGCTGGTCCTTCCAGGCAGCTTCCACAAGATGGCAATATTTGAAACAGAAAGCTCACAATTAGGAAAAACTGGGCTGGGTTCATAGTGGTGGGTACCGGGAAAGCAATCTTTGGTTTATTTGTGAACCAGGCAGGCTGCTCGTGCAGGATGATTGAGGGAAGTAGTCGCCAATGTTACTTATTTTCTCGATCAGTTGATGAGAGCAAGATGCAGTTTTAACCCTGAAATTTGCTTGTTACCTTTACTTCATTTGCTTCCAATTTTGATCTTGCACAACTTTTTACTGAACA